TTGATGTACTTCGTTCAGTTACGTATTGCTCCTTCTTCTTTAACTAGCCTTTCAGCTTCCTCGTTTACACTTGCAGTTCTGGATAAAATTGTAGAATTTCCATTACTAGAAAATTTCTAAAACAATATTTATAATAAATAAATAAAATAAACAATTATGTCCAACAAAATTGATCTAATATTGAAAAAAGTTTATCAATAACTAAGTAAGTTTATCATAAGTAGTAAAGTTTATCATAAAAATAAAAAGTTATAGGGGTGAGATACTTTCGAGAAACACCCGGTATAGGGATGTTTCAGAAAACATGACTTATTTAACATTTATAAAACGCCGTATTTAATAATTCAGATTATCTTACGGTGGTTTTGCATAGAGAACACCAATTATTCCTATCTTCTTTCCGTCTCTTTCTACAATAGTACTTTTTGTGTAAGTACCTTGAATAGTAGGTTCCTTACTGTCGTCAATGTTGGAGCACACCACGGGTGCTTTTAAACTTGTAATGAAAGGTACCACACCAGAGATACCATCATCAAATTCGTGATTACCTAGAACCTTAAAAAATAGGGATAAACTTTTTACCTTTGACAAAGAATATATATTTTTAAAAGAAAAATCTTCTGGGTGTTTCCTTTATAGAGAGAAAATCACAAAATAAAATAGTTATCTATATACAAGAAGATCGACATGTCACATACAGGGTGAACCACTGAAACTTACAATGGCTATAATTTTAAACCAAAATTTTTTTTTATTAAAATATAAAATACCGTTTCTATAATATCGAGTGGGAATACATATGACATATTTTTTGAACCACCCCGACCTACCCTAAGGCGGCACCACCCCTTAGAAAATCTTAAATGGCAAAACCCCACTTGTGGCGCTTTTTTGGAAAGCCCGTGAAAATGCTAAACGATGATCATAAAGTTTTAGGGTGAAATTGAAAACTACCCCTTACACAAAATTGGTTGGACATTAATGAGAGAAAAGGAGTGATTTTTTTCAACATAAGTTACAAATTGGGACCCAGCTAAATGAGGTTTTTTCAAACTACCCCGACCCACCCTTAGGTTACCATCCCTTGACTTCTAACCTCAAGATAGCGATACCCTTGTATTTACCTCTTTGGAAAGCTGATATAAAAATGCTGAACGACTGTCATAAAAAACGAAAAAAGTGGGAGCTAAAAATAAAAAAATGTCAAAACGATATCCAAAATCAATAGAATGAATTGCCAGAAAAAGAAAAAAGCTCGTACAAGAGAGAAATTTATTATAACTCTTAATGAGGACCTCATACACTTTCAGCAAGATGGAGCCCTTTCGCATTATTCTATTGTCACTAGGCGGTGGTTGGATAAATATTAACCAAGGCAATGGATTGGCAAAAGGGGTCTAATCGAGTGGCCGCAAAGGTCACCTGATTTCCTCCTTTAGACTTTTTCTTATGGGGTTACACTAAATCCATAGTCTACAAGACAAAACCAGGTTCGTTGCAAGAAATGCAGCAGAGGAGAACTGAAGCATGTCGAAATATTCCGAGAGAGTTTCCAAAAAGTGAGAGAATTTGAAAATCGTTTGTATTTTGTATGGAACAAAACAGCTGTCATTTTGAGCAATTCTTAAAATAGAAATTATCATTTTAAATTTCTTTCAAATTGTCACACCTACATTTCTTGTCACTAACCAGTAATTAAGTTCAAGTCTGTATGACCATCGTTTAGCAATTTCAATTTCACCAAAGAAGTGTCACAAGTGGGGTATGGCTATTTTGAGATTAGAGTGGGGGGGTGCCACCTAGGGGTGGGTTGGGGTGGTTTTAAAATTACTTCTTTTGCGTCATTTAGCTGGGTCCCAAGTTGTAACTTATGCTGATAAAATCACCTTTTTCATTAATGTCCACCTAATTGTTCATGTATGGGTAGTTTTTTCCTAAAAACTTTATGATCATCATTTAGCATTTTTCATGAGCTTTCAAAAAATACAAATGGGGTATTGCCATTTAAGATTTTCAAATGAGTAGGGGTGCCTCCTAAGGGGTAGGTCAGGATGGTTCAAAAAATACGTCATATATGTATTCCCCATCGATATTATAGAAGCAGTATTTTTATTTTTAAATATCTTTGGTTTAAAAATTACGCAGCCATTATGAAGTTTTTGTTAAGCCCACCCTAATATCCTATTAAAATTGAAGCATCATTGGACATTTCAAAGACCTCAATTCAAAAACTTTTACCTACATAAAGAATGATCTGTCAAAAAATTAGATTTCTTGTTGGATAATTACAGTCAAATGGTGTCAAAAACTCATTTAAAGCAGGAAACTCCAGTACAATACGCAGTCTTTTCAGTGGTGATAAATTCTGGATTTACTCTTATGAACCCTTATGACTCCGAGATGAACCAAAACCAACGAAAGTTATCCCTTCTCGAAGTGTTTCCAAAAAATGGTGGCGATATTTGTCTCAAAAGCGGACCATACACTACAATCTCTCAGCAAGATCATAGGACTGTTACTGCTGATTGGCGCATATTTATTTGTTTGCCGGAAGTAATTGCTGAGTTTCGATAAAAAACAATCCTCAACACCGAATGATCCTCCACATAAAGAGACAATGCAAATTCCTGTACAGCTCGAAAAACAATTGAGTTTTTAAAGCAAGGAAACATCAAATTGTTGGACCATCCTCCACACAGTCCCGACCTAAATCCTAACGACTTTTCCAAAATTAAAGAGACAGAAAAACTGAGTGGTCAAAGGTTCCAGTCCCTATAGAAGATGCAGTCAAGCGAGGTGGAATAGTTGTTTCCAGAATTGGTCCCAACGGATGCAAAATTTCATTTCTCTTCTTGGAGAATACTTCGAAGAATAGTTATTTAAGAATTATCTAAAAAAATACCCCAAAGGCGAAATATCCAGAGGGAACTTTTTAAAGAAATTAGTCCCCACCACAAAGTAATAGATATTATGTAAATGTTTCTTACGATAGCATCAAACGGTAATTTGTTCAGAAACTCTTGAGTTATGTTCCATTTGCCCAAGGTGTAATACAGGGTGCCTTGAAAGTTATCGCCGCCATTCAGTAAGAGGGACTTGGGTTGCGTATCTAATAGTTCCTGGATTTGAGTGACCAGTCTTGGAAATCCACCGATGCAAGATGTATCTTTGCACGTTCCAGATGCACTACTTATCTCTTCAAATCTATAAGAATTTTTTTTTTACATTTTTTGAAAGCTGATTTAAGACAATAATTAGTGTTTTAAATATCGATAAAAGATTTAAGTCTTTTCGAAAAATGCCCGGTATAGTTGTAAAACCTGACAAAGAAATATTAAAAATATAATTTTTTCCATAGCAACTGTTAAAATTGCCTTATATCTATCAAAAATAGTAGAAAAAATAGTACTTTAACCGCAAGAGTAGATTAAATGATTATTTCTTCTCGCACGTTTTTTAATTGCTTCCATTTTTGAAAATTTTTGTATTCCTTTTCATAAGTTATTCGGGATTTAAATGGAAGTAGTTTGGATATGGCGTTTGTCGCCTCAGCCTAAATATCTGTTGGTAATTTACTTATTTTGTTTTGAGCCATTTCTGGCTCCAATTCAATCAGCAATCGACACGAAAGAGAATTAAAAAAAATTGACTCAAAACTGACAACTAAAGAGACAGCTTTATTTATTTGTCAAATCACATAGAAACCAACGAAAAACCAGCACAATATTTTTTCAACTCGTAATAAATTCTTTGAAATAATAATTTCTGAATATTTTTTAAACCGTAACTCGCTATGGAAAAAATATTGTTTTATCCACGACGATAAAATTGCATTATCGTCTCCCGAAATTAATTACCATTTTATCGTCTTGTATAAAAAATAACTATTCCTTAACCTTACCTCGCATGGAAATCATTAAGGTGCACTACAGAAAGTTCAAATAAATCTGCTTTTAAAGTATTACTAAGACAACCCAAACTCAGCAAAAATAACGTTGTTACTTTGAGGAACCACATCTTTTCCAAAGTAACGTTTGACACCTTCAGACAAGTGAAATAAACTGATTTTTAGCATTTTAATATCTATTTTAATAATCTACTTATCAATGAATTAACAGGTCTTTATTTTTATATCGGATCGAACGATTTGATATAAAATTAACATTTTATTATCGCTAAATTTTTATTGCTAGAAGTGGGTTTGTTATCGGCGATTATTGTGCTTAGAAGACGGTGATTAGAGATTAAGTTGAATAACATGTTTCATTCACCGAATTTGTTGTAATATTTATTATACGTCTAGTTGTAAGTGTTCCAAAGTAACAATAGGAAAAAATATATCTAAAGGTCACCACAGACGTACTTTATTGTCGCTCAGATAAACAGTAACAACATCCAAAGTATTTCATGTTCTTGAGTTCCGCTTTAAGTTGGTTTCTACTTGGGAAGCAGAACGGTTCTGGTTCAGTTACTGGAGTGTTCGCTCCTTTTCTAGCTAGATTGTTTGTTTTTTCATTGCCTTGTATCCCTTTGTGGGCTAAATTTTGTTACATAAAAATCTAGAATGTCAATATTCCATAGGTATATTAATAAGTGAGGTCTAAATTATAAGGAAATTCATTTTCTACGAAAACTTGAAGACATAGGTAACAAATGGTATAATACAATTTGATAGACAATTAAATTGTGCCTCTGACTCACGTAAAATATACAAGGTATTCCATTTAAATTAAACAAGTTATTGTCGGTTAAAGCTAGTAATTATTTAATATAAATTTTAAGACACTCTGTATAAGGTAGTATAATTTTTATTATTGCAACACCAAATTTAGTAAATTGAAAAACTTCAATAAATTATTTGGTTTTAAAAACTTTAATACGCCTAGAGAAATGAAGCCTTAAAATTGTCAGTGCATTTTCATCAAATCGTTAATATTTCAAAAAACCGTAAGATTAAAGTGCGGTAAACCTTTACTTTAATCGTAGAAACTAAAATGTAATAATATACAGGGCGTTCCATTTAATAAAATACAACCATGATATTTTTTATTTATTTGGGACACTCTGTACCTTTTGAAAATAATTTAAATTAGTAGTTTTAGTAGTCCTCCAACGATCCCATCACTCACATTGTCTAAAAATTTAATCATTTGGGTACGGTACGATGAGATGAATAACCCTGTATTTTTAAGTGCTTTAAATGCACCCAATTAAAAAAATAATTAGCAATCGCCTTGGTATTGAGGTCCTGGCAATATTTTTGTTATCTGAGGTGACTTTTACACGTGTCTGCTATAGCTCGTGTTCTTGTTTACAACGCAAATAAGTACGTAAAATAGGTATCAAAAGGATACGTCCAATTGAGAGAGCAAATATTATTTAAACTCTTATGTTACTAAGCGTTTTTAAAAATTATATATTACAAAAGCTGGGTTTAAAAAAAACAGTATAGTTTAGTCTTCCCAATTAAAATGTTGGTGTACTTAATATTGACTATTTTACTTTTCGTTTTTTACGTAAAATGGCGCCATACTTACTGGAAAAGACTTGGAGTGTATCAGTTTGATACCGAGTTCTTATTTGGCGATACCAAAAACGAGGTGTTGGGTAAAGCAAGCATTTTCCAAGCCTTTAAAGATAAATACAAAGAACTGAGAGCCCTAAACCAGAAACACGGAGGTGTCTACATGCTGCTGAAACCAGTTTACGTGCCTGTGGACCTGGACTTAATAAAAAGAATCGTCGTCAAAGACTTTCAATACTTTCAGGGCCACATGGACAACACTCATCCTAAAGACAACCTTAGCAAGAACCTTTTTGGTCTGTACGGTGATCCATGGAGGAAGCTAAGAGTCAAACTGACCCCAACGTTTACTTCTGGTAAGATGAAGTTGATGTTTGAGACCTTAGTTGAGAAAACGAAAGGTTTGGAGGAATTAGTGAGGAGTCACGTTAAAAATAATCAACCTCTTGACATAAAAGAAGTGATAGCTAGGTTTACCACCGATATAATTGTCAGCTGTGCTTTTGGGCTTGAAAGTAACTGTTTAGGTGAAGCTGAATCCGAGTTTCGTAGGTACGGAAGAAAAGTATTTGATTTAAAGACTTGGAGGATGGTTATTCGTAATATTCTTCCACGTGTGTTGGTGATTTTATGTTATCGTTTAGGATTTACCTTATTTCCTAGAGACGTAACCCAATTTTTCAACAAAACGGTTCAAGATACCATTCGCTACAGGGAGCAAACGAAATTCTACAGAAAGGATTTCATGCAGTTGCTGTTGGAGATAAAGAACAAAGAAAACGGGGCGGATTCAATTACAGATGAAGAGATCATTGCGCAATGTTTTGTTTTCTTTATGGCAGGCTACGAGACATCGTCAACTACCACAACTTTGTTTTACTCGAACTGTCACAGAATCAACACATCCAAGAGAAACTAAGAGCGGAAATTAGGGATGTCTTGGAAAACACGAAGGAGCGATTACTTACGATGCAATCATGGAAATGACGTATCTTGAAATGGTTATTAACGAAACCCTAAGAAAGTACCCTCCAGTTCCAAATATTCCCCGATTTTGCACGAAGGATTATCACGTTCCTGGCACAGACGTAACTATTAAAAAAGGAACCCAGGTTCAAATTCCAGTGTGGGGCCTTCAAACCGATCCGGAATATTTTCCAAACCCGGAAAAATTCAACCCGGAAAATTTCAGTGCGGAAAATAAGTCCAAAATTCCGGAAATGGCTTTTATACCTTTCGGAGAGGGACCTAGGATGTGCATCGGGTTGCGTTTTGGAAAGTTACAGAGCAAAGTTGCTTTGGTCAGTTTATTGAGAAACTTTAATTTTACTCTGAGTGAAAAAACTCGTATTCCTATTGAGTTTGAGAAAGTGAGTTTAATTTTAACAGTTGAAGGGGATGTATGGTTGAATGCAACTGAAATTTAAGACAGAAATATGTGATAATGTTATAATAAATAATATACTTCTCTGTACTGTTTATCATAATAAATTTAATAAAGATGCCCGAACAGAAGCATTAAATTACTTAATATTTAATTTATACCGGGTGCGTCTCAAAAGTGGCTCACCCCTATAACTTTTTTTATTTTTTCAGATAAAAAACGAGATTTGGTATGTCAGTATCTACATATATAAAACGCTAATGTTTATCTGTGTCGTCTCTACTGAAGTAACGACTTGCTCTAGAAAGTTGCTTTTTTACTAAAAGATAGCTAATTGGCTCTTCTAAAAAGCGTCGTCGCCAATTTTTTTGTTTTTCATTTAATTAAAAAAAAATAAAAAATATTTTTTTCTTGATGTCGCGTCAATGCGGATGCGCCAGGCTTCAACTACTATGACATAAATTAGGATTAATAATTGACGTAACTTTGATTTTTAAATGGCATCCTCATTATATTTTCACTTTATTCGATTGAAAATGACACTGATTATAGTTGAGGGTTGGAACCTTTGGTGTTACACAGCAAAATAAAACACTAAATCACCACAATACACCAAAACACTTTTACTTTTACACTGGACGCGCGTTTCGCTAACCATGTTAGCATCATCAGCAGATGATTATAAACTAAAATACAATCTACAATTGGAGCGTTTATATTCTCGCTCAGTGGGCACAGAGTGGGCGTGGCAAGATCTAGCCAACCGACTCAGAACCCAACCGAACGTAACAGTTAGATTTCCGCCACTAGAGTAGTGGGAATAAAGAACTTTAAGGAATTGGACCGTTGTCTCTCATACCATCTTTACATTTATTAATTCTGATGCTTTCATATGCATCTAATTGCCTGTAATTTGAGACTTGTTTAATTAATTTCAAGTTATTAAGATCTATACAATGTTCTTTATCAACAATATGTTCGGCAACGCAAGATTTAACCGGTCTACCATATCTTATCTGAGCTAAATGTTCTTTTAATCTAGTTAATATTATTAGTTATAGTATTATGGTGATTTAGTGTTTTTAATTTTGCTGAAAATGACACTCTGAATAGAATGGCATATCATATGTCAACTTTTATTATATTGACATTTTTGCTTAAAAAAAATCGTATCTTATAATATATATACGTATCGTATTTTAAATTTAATTAATTTTGAGTGCCATGTCTGTATTAAAAACACTAATTTTTAATCAAGGAGCCTTGGAAAAATAGATTTGATCGTCAAATATTTTTCGTGTCTTATCTTGGCGGGTTAAAAGATGTCCATATCTATTTTTTTTGAAATGTAACAAGCATATTTGGAAAAAAATAGGGATAATTTGATACCACACACTTGGTATTTCGAGTCAAATTATTTTTGTTATGAACCGCGTGTTATATACTTTCAAATAAACCATATGCGAAAATGTCGAAAGTTGACATATGATATGTCATTCTATTCAGAGTGTCTTTTTTTATCGAATAAATATACCGAGTGTGCTATGTAAAAATCAAAAGTTGTAGTTATTTCCGGTGAAACAGGAAGTGACCAAAATCAAGTGAATACGTCAATCAATCCTAATTAATGTCATATACCAAATCTCATTTTTTTTTATCTGAAAAAATAAAAAAAAGTTATAGGGGCGAGCTACTTTTGACACGCACCCAGTATAAATAATGTAGTTTTTAGATTAATTTTTATGATATATTTTTAAATGATAAGGATATGTCCTTAACATATTATTAATTCTACTAATATTATTGTGTTTGATATTAAAAAAATTTAGGGTGACCCAAATTGGGATATGGGACCGCTGGGATGTCGTAAACTATAAAATATGCCAAAAATAATCAATAATATAAAATCAGTAATTACAATACATGCATGACAGCATTTCATAACTCTGGCCACCGAATATTAATACTGTAATATATTAAATGCATACCAATTATCGCTAAAAACAACATGATTAATCAGAATCCACTTCCCACTGAAAAATGTGTAGAATAGCTATCAGAATGATTTGTAGAGAGAGAGAGAGAGAGAGAGAGAGAGAGAGAGAGAGGGAGTGCAAATATTTTTTAACTCATCGTTACTTGGCGTTTTATGAAATTATAAATAATCTAACAGCAGAATTTAAATAAACAGTACAGTTTCGTGTTCGGAATTAAAATGTTGGTGTACGTAATATTAGCCATTCTACTTTTTGTTTTTTACGTAAAATGGCAGCATACTTATTGGAAGAGACACGGAGTGTATCAGTTAGATACCGAGTTTCTATTTGGTAACTTTAAAAACGAGTTGTTGGGCAAAGCAAGCCTTTTCCAGGCCTTTAAAATAAATATAAACAACAACAAAGCCCAAACCTGAAACATGGAGGTGTATACGTTTTGCTGAAACCAGTTTATGTGCCAGTTGACCTAGACATAATAAAACGAATCCTTATCAAGGATTTTTCCTACTTCCAGGGTCACGCGAACGATTTTCATCCAAAAGACAACCTTAGCATGAACCTTTTCTTTATTCACGGTGATATATGGAGGAAGCTAAGAATAATTTACTAACCTTTACTTCAGTAGATAAGTTGATATTTTGATACTGAGTAGAAAAAACAAAAGGTTTGGAGGAATTGGTTCGGAGTCACGTCAAGCATAGCCAACCTCTTGACATAAAAGAAGTGGCAGCTAGGTTCACGACCGATATAATTGTCAGCTGTGGGTTTGGGCTTGAAAGTAACAGTTTGGGTGAAGCTGAAACCGAGTTCCGGATGTACGGAAGAAAAGTATTCGAGTTGAAGGCTTGGAGGATGTTTATTTTGAATGGTATTCCGCGTAAATTGCTGACTTTATGTTACCATTTAGGATTTACAGCATTTCCTAGAGACGTAAACCGATTTTTCTCTAAAACAGTTAAAGACAATATTTGCTACCGGGAACAAACGAAATTGTACAGAAAGGATTTCATGCAGTTGCTGTTAGAGATGAAGAACAATGGAAATGAAGCATCGAATTCAATTACAGATGATGAGATCATTGCCCAATGTTTTGTTTTCTTTGCCGCGGGCTTCGAGACATCGTCAACTACCACAACTTACGCTATGTTAGAATTGTCGCAGAATCAAGATATCCAGGAGAAACTAAGAGCGGAAATCAAGGATGTCCTGGAAAAACACGAAGGAGTGATTACTTACGAGGCCATCATGGAAATGACGTATCTTGAAATGGTTGTTAACGAAACCCTAAGAAAATACCCTCCAGTTCCATTTATACCTCGATACTGCACGAAGGATTATCATGTTCCAGGTACAGATGTAATTATTAAAGAAGGAACCCAGGTTCAAATTCCAGCTTGGGGCATTCAAACCGATCCGGAATATTTTCCAAATCCGGAAAAATTCAACCCGGAAAACTTTAGTGCGGAAAATAAGTCCAAAATCCCGGAAATGGCTTTCATACCTTTCGGAGAAGGACCAAGGATGTGTATAGGATTACGGTTTGGGAAGATACAAAGCAAACTTGCTCTGGTCAGTTTATTGAAAAACTTTAGATTTACTCTGAACGAAAAAACTCATACTCCCATCGAGTTTACGAAAGTGAGTTTCGTTTTATCCGTTGAAGGGGACGTATGGTTGAATGTAACTGAAATTTAAGAAAGAAATGTGTGATAACAAAATAATATATATTTTTGAACTGTTTATTATAATATATCTAATAAAAAAGCCTGAAAAATTACGTATTATACTACTTAATATTTAATTTATATAAATAATTTAGATATTTTGCAGACTAACTTTTAGATGATATTAATATTATTTTTTTATGATATTAAAATGTACAAAATATTCCTAAATTGGAAGGTAACCAGTGTGATATCAGAAACTATAAAATATACAAAGGGAGTCAAATTATCAAAACATAAACAAAAACAATATTATAAAATAGTTATTATTTTTGCATGCCTTTATTTGAAAAGGTATTGTAAAATCAACCTTCATTAACCTTATAGGATCACTTTGTTTGTCTGTCTGTCAAGATCCTTTATCTCGGGAACGCGTGGAGGTATCGAGTTGAAATTAAAACCATTTTCTCATGTCTACAAGTCTACAGTACCTTGAGGCTGTGAAAAAATTAAACTTACTAAGTTAGCAACGTAAAAGATACATATATTTCAACATTCTCAAAGAATCAAAATGTATGTTATTTCCGTTGACCTATGTATGTAAGAAATATGGAAAATAATATCGTCTTATCAGTCAAGCAAGTTAAGAATGGGAACTTGAATCTTGTTTTAATTTGTTTCCAGTAAAGTATAGGAAGTGGTAGAATTTAGATTGGAATTTTTGCCACAAAAAGTGTCATTTTTTTTTTTTTTTTTAACAATATACTATTTTTTTCAAACGTTAAAAAAACATTAATTTCTGCGACGTGATTGGCAGTGTAAAAATTTAACTTAACAAAGTGTCAAATTCCAACGAGCGTAACCATGGTTCTCGATATATAATTATTTACAACGTATTCCTTTTAAAACATTATTTGGAACGTTTGAAATTGTTTAAAAATCATTTGTGACATTTGAAAAATGGCATATTCTATTTGGAATAAAAATGATTTTTGTGGCTCGCCTGTATGTCAAACAAGTCAAACGTATAGCCTCACCACAAAAAGTATCATTTTTACTCCTAAAACAATATACTATTATTACATTTTTATATGAAATATACAGGTGTCTCAGATTTAATCGGGAAAATTTAATAGACGATAGAACTTGCAAAAATAAAACAAAAAGTTCAAATCAACTTGTAAGATTTAAAGCTACCTTTTCGAGATACAGGGTGTTAAAGTTTTTTTTTTAAGTAAAAAAATATTGAGATACTATTTGAAAAACTATTTTATCGATTTTGATATAACTTGACCCGTTTATAATACTTACCAAGGGACTTAATTTGATGTAATTAGATTTAAGTTTAATGGCCAGGGGCGGCGGAGGGGCATCACTGTTAAATTGTTTACAGGAAAAAAAAGGCGCATACGCTTTTCGGTTTAATGCTATTTTTTGGATTTAGTGTGTTCATTTTGTCTCTCTCGACTTTTGCTTACTTCTTGCGAATAAAAATAAATTCCCAATTGGTAATTAATATTATAATTAGTATTCTAATGGTACCCTTTATCTCGAAAAGGAAGCTTAAATCTTACAAGTTGATGAACTTTTCTTTTATTTTTGCAAGAGTTCATAGTCTGGTGATTAAAATCTGAGACTTGCCCTGCCATATTAGAAACAATCTCAAATAGAAAACCGGTGTAAAAACATAAATTTTATGCCCACAGAAAAAATTGTATTTTCGAAACTATATTAATAAGTCTAGTTTAAAAAATTATATACAGGGTGAGTGAAATACTGCAGGTGGTATATTTCGACCCCAGAAAGACGTCTATGAGGTTTTTTCCAAAAAGATGTTGAAAATCATACATTTTCTTTTAAATTTCCTCATATATTACTGAAAACTTTTTGGAACTTTTTTTTTTTTTTTTTTTTTTTTTACCGCAGTATAATTTCTTAATCTCTGATATTACCATAGTTACAGCTTTACTCTATGGTTGCGACAATAAAAAGGGATAAATACAGAAAAATACCGGTGGCTCTCAAAATTTTTCCAAAAAAATCAATTTTTTTTTAAATTTTCAAACTTAAATAACTCAGTTATTTTGGACTTATTTGAAAAATGGTAAAGAGAAAATATGTTTCTTTTATTGAGAACTACCAGCCCTGAAAATATTTGCACTTATTTAAGACTCACCCTATATAAAAAAACTAATTAACGAATTGCAAATATTGTTATGCAGCAGTTCCTAACGATGTAATTAGGATACTATGGTCTTATCAGGGTATTCTCATTATTTCTATTTTTCATATTGTAATATAGTGATACGAATCTTGTTTTTGCAACTGTTATAAGTTATTACTCGTTATTGTGCTTCTAAATAACTCGAAATAAATCTGGCAATGAACGAAGTTTTGTACGTTTTATTATTAAAAAGTCGCGAGTTTACATATCATTACTGTAAGTGACAATATGATTTTGTAGCATCATTAATTATCAAATCCTACTTGTCAATTAAGAATAAAAAAGTGGTTATCAGGATGATGTGTACGTATTGTGAGAACGGGATGTTATTACGACTTAATAACAACTTAATAATATTACTTAGCGTTTTTAAAATTATAAATAGCAGTGGCGGCGTTTAAATAAACGATAGTTTCGACTTCCTAGTTAAAATGTTGTTGTTTTTTAATATCGGCCATTTTACTGTTCTTTCTCTACGTAAAATGGCAGCATACTTACTGAAAAAGGCTCGGAGTGTATCAGTTTGATACCGAGTTCCTATTTGGCGATACCAAAAACGAGGTGTTGGGTAAAGCAAGCATCTTCGAAGCCATCAAGAAAAATACAGAAGCAACTGAAAGCTCTAAACCTGAAACATGGAGGTATCTACATGCTGCTCAAACCAGTTTATGTGCCAGTCGACTTGGACCTAATAAAAAGAATCGTCGTCAAGGACTTTTCCTACTTCCAAGGTCACATTGACAACATCCATCCTAAAGACAATCTCAGCATGAACCTTTTTGGTCTATACGGTGATCCATGGAAGAAGCTAAGAATCAAGCTCACTCCAGCGTTTACTTCTGGTAAAATGAAGATGATGTTTGATACCTTAGTAGAGAAAACAAAAGGTTTGGAGGAATTAGTGAGGAGTCACATTAAAAATAATCAACCTCTCGACATCAAAGAAGTGGTAGCTAGGTTCACTACGGATATAATTGTCAGCTGTGCTTTTGGGCTTGAAAGTAACTGTTTGGGTGAAGCTGAAACCGAGTTCCGTACATACGGAAGGAAAGTATTCGAATTGAAGGCTTGGAGGATGCTCATTCTTAACGGCATTCCGCGTAAATTGCTGACTTTATGCTACCATCTAGGTTTCAGTGCAGTTCCCAGGGACGTTGGCCAGTTTTTCAACAAGACAGTTCAAGATACCATTTGGTACAGGGAGCAAACAAAATTGTACAGAAAGGATTTCATGCAGTTGCTGTTAGAGTTGAAGAACAAAGAAAAGGGAGCTGCCAATTCAATTACAGACCAAGAGATCATTGCGCAATGTTTTGTTTTCTTTATCGCAGGCTATGAAACATCGTCCACCACCACAACTTTTGTTTTACTCGAATTGTCACAGAATCAAGATATCCAGGAGAAACTAAGAGTCGAAATCAGGGATGTCTTGGAAAAACACGAAGGAGCGATTACTTACGATGCAATTATGGAAATGACGTATCTTGAAATGGTTATTAACGAAACCCTAAGAAAATACCCTCCAGTACCCATTATTCCCCGATTCTGCACGAAGGATTATCACGTTCCAGACACAGACGTAATTATTAAAAAAGGAACCCAGGTTCAAATTGGTTTGGGGCCTTCAAATAGATCCGGAATGAGCCGGAAAAATTCAACCCGGAAAATTTCAGTGCGAAAAATAAGTCCAAAATCCCGGAAATGGCTTTTATACCTTTCGGAGAGGGACCCAGGATGTGCATCGGGTTGCGTTTTGGCATGTTACAGAGCAAAGTTGCTCTGGTCAGTTTACTGAGAAACTTTAATTTTACTCTGAGTGAAAAAACTCATACTCCTATCGAGTTTGAGAAAGTGAGTTTTATTTTATCCGTTGAAGGGGATGTATGGCTGAATGCAACTGAAATTTAACAAGGAAATGTGTGATAATATAATAAATTATTTCTGGACTGTTTATTTATTATACAGGGTGAGTCTTAAATAAGTACAAATATTTTCAGTGCTGGGTGCTTCGATAAAAGATAATAAAATAAAGAAACATATTTTATCATTAATGATTTTTTACTCATATTTTGAGAACCACTGGATTTTTTCTGGGGTTTCTTTTTTGTAAAACTAATATACTACCTATTATATCACGATTATATCAAGATATTATGTTTTTTAACTAAAAATAATAAAAAAATACAACCATTTTTTCGAAAAATACAACATTTTCCAAAAAAAATTCGCGAAAACAGCCTCATAGACGTGGCTCTGGAATCGAAATATATCGCCTTTAAAAACATTTGCACTTATTCAAGACTCACCCTGTATATGTAATTAAAAGCCTGAAAATAATCATTAAATCAATTAATATTTAATTGGTATAAATAATGTAGATATTTTTGAGACTAAATTTTAAAACGTATCTTTAAATGATATTAGTGTTTATTATTAATAATGATGTAATATGTTATTAAAATAGTACAGGGTTTCCGAAACAGGAAAGTGTCACAAATTGGGACCTCGGAAACTTTCACTCCTAAAAGTGATACATTATTTTATTTAGGAGGTCGAATGCTTAAAAAAAATAAAAAGAATGATCTTATCTATTGTGGTCTCCGAGATTTTCCAATTGTCACCCTCAAATTTGGGACAGTCTGTACATTACGAGAGATTTGAAGTGTGAGATTTATTTTGAATAAAGATTTTTTTAAAATAATTATAGTTTTGTGTACAGGATATTTATAAAAATTAAAATTGATTATTATTGACCAACTGATTATTACAAACTTTCAGTATTGGGATTAATCAAGAAATAATAGTGAAGCTACATTTTAAAATTATTTTAAAAGGTACAAGGTGTTATAAAATATATTATTTTTTTTTTAATGAAACACCCTAAATATTATTAGATTATTTGTAGTCTGTATAATCCAAATAAAAATATACAGGGTGGGCCAATGAAAACTTTCCACCCCAATTTTTCTCGTTTAAAATTAAAATTTGAAAAAACGCCCGGACACGTCGATTTAGCTTTCGAGGGGGAAAAGAAAATATCATAAAATCACTCTCACACCTATAATCTCCAAGGCGGGGGCGGCTCCACCCCTAAATTCTTAAATGGAAAGGGGGGCCGAGTGATACCTCATGTGAAAGGTCTTTCAATTCCCTTTTTAATTATATAGTCTGTCCAACGAGAAGATCCTTGACAGTGATAGATGTGTCTGTCATTTTAATATCAAAGTAGTTTATTTTATTTTACAAAGAAATAAGTTGGTACAACTGGAACGCATAGCAGGAAATATTTAAAATTTAATTGACAAGATGACAAGTGATTACTTCAAAATATCGTGAAAAAAACTGTATAAAACTGAAAAAATGTAATCGAGTTATTTTATTTAATAAAACGGTGTGTTAATACAAAACAAACAAGAACAAAACACTACATACCAAAAAAATATAAAATAAAACTATTATTTACTTTCAAGCTTTATGAAACTATACCCGCATTTATGATTATATTTATCAATATAACTTATGTACAAATACAAATTTGTAATATTCCACAGGAATAAATAAAACAACATAGGTAAATAAAACAAACTATTTTATTAATAATAACACCTACCAAATTTTATACCTTAAAGGTTGATTAATTAACTTTAATCTTAATTTTTTTAAACCAGTACCTTTTGACATTATTTTTCTGCAGTACTAAAATCCATTATTTACCTATCGTGTGATGTCGATATTTTACAGCTACTCCAGTTTTTATTATGTGTTTAGTTTGATCCTTCTACCATATACGAGATGCACTTATCTACGACGAAATGGTATACAAACTTTATCGATGGCAACTTCATTGGTGTATAAGACTTTCTGCCTGGGCAGCGAGTATTAACCATAAACTGTGCTCTGGGTTTACAGTTAATTTTCACTCGATTTTTCCTCCACTTGACTTCAAAAGACACAAAACACACGTAATAATACTAATCAAATTGCATCATCTTCCAAAACGCAGGGTATTTAACAAAAGTTGACACAAAATTATAACCTATAATTTGGCAAGACTTTAACAAGCGTCAAAATGACAAAATCTAAAGGCGAGTTCATACGCATCGGCGTCCGTTTGTCGTTCATCGTTTCGTCAAACCAATAAAATTGAAATACGATCTGTCATTTTTTAAATAAACCAATAAAACTGGTTAAAAACAACAAGACACGACGTATGACAGATTTATATTTAAACCCATCCATAGATAACTTAAAAATTATTAGAAACTTTTTTTAGTAAAATCTGCTTTTGTTCTGTCATCGTCTGTCGAAATCTTACCTGAGAAAAAAAACAGAGTATATAAGATATCATGTACTTTCGCTCAGTAGTTTTAGAGATTTATTGATTTAAAGTAGATTTTAATTTATCAGCTAAGTGGTGAAAAAATCGGTTTTTATTTTTTTCTTTCTCTGTATGTATTATTTTGGCAAACTATGTATACTAAAAATTAAGATTTTAAATAAAAAAACTTAAATTTTTATTTCTTTAAATTTCTAAAAAATTTCCCGGCCAAAATTGAGCATTTTTCACTTATTCCGAATTGAAAGATTTTTGGGCGTGGATCGATGCAGATTGATTAGTTAAAATTTTTAGTATACATAGTTTGCCAAAAAAATACATACAGAGAGAGAAAAAACAAATAAAAACCGATTTTTTCACCACTTAGCTGATAAATTAAAAAAATTACTTTAAATTAATAAATCTCTAAAACTACTGAACGAAAGTACATGATATCTATATCATTAAAAAGGGAATTGCTTTCTTGCCCTTTCCATTTAAGAATTTAGGGGTGACGCCGGCCCCGCCTTGGAGGTTATAGGTGTGAAAGTGATTTTATGATATTTTCTTTTCCCCCTCGAAAACTAAATCGACGTGTTCGAGCGTTTTTCCAAATTTTAATTTTAAACGAGAAAAATTGGGGTGGAAAGTTTCCATTGGCCCACCCTGTATTTGATTAGGTTTACCTCATTTAAACCTTACAATTTTACTGGATCATGATATTCTTATTATTTTACTTTTTTCTTCTTGAACTAATATACTGATATGATTATTGTTTTTGCTTATTGTTATTAATTTATTGTGTAGTTAATTCGAAAACATTGGGTAATTAATTAAATTCTATTTATTTATTTAATAAAAAATCGACATTACATATCATATACAGGGTGAGTCTTAAATCAGTGCAAATATTTCTAGGGATAGTATATTTCAGCCCCAGAAACATGGCTATGAGGTTCTTTCCGCAAAAAAAATTAACAAATATAGAATTTTTTTGAAAAAATATTGGAATTTGTTTAGTTTTTAGTTAAAAAACATAATTTCCTGATGAGATGGCAATATAGGTAGTAGGTATATTAAATTAACAAGAAAGAAAACTCGGTAAAGATCCAGTGGTTCTCAAAATTTAAGCAAAAAATATATTTTTTTAAAATTTTCAAACTAAAATAATTCGGTTATTTTGGAGTTATTCGAAAAACGGTAAAGAAAAAATATGCTTCTTTTATTGAGATCTACCAGCCCTGAAAATATTTGCATTTATTTAAGGCTCACCCTATAGAGCGATAATCGATAATTACTAGAATTAGACGCATAACAATTTTTGCTAATAACAACATGGCTAATCAGATTCCACTTCTCAATGAAAAAATGTGCTTAATAGGAATCAGGATGATATGCAGAATTGAACAAGTAAATATTATTGTAACTAAATGTTACTTAGCGTTTCTTTAAAAACTATAAATAATCTAGCAGCGGCGTTTAAATAAATAGTATAGTTTTGTCTTCCCAATTAAAATGTTGGTGTACTTAATATTGGCTATTTTACTTTTCGTTTTCTACGTGAAATGGCAGCATACTTATTGGAAAAGGCACGGAGTGTATCAGTTTAATACCGACTTCTTATTTGGCGATACCAAAAATGAGATGTTGGGTAAATCAAGCATTTTCCAAGCGGTCAGAGATAAATACAATCAACTGAAAGCCCAAAACCTGAAATATGGAGGTGTCTACATGCTGCTCAAGCCAGTTTTTGTGCCAGTCGACTTGGACTTAATAAAAAGAATCGTCGTCAAGGACTTTTCCTACTTTCAGGGTCACATTGACAACGTTCATCCCTAAGGACAACCTTAGCATGAACCTTTTTGGTCTATACGGCGATCCATGGAAGAAGCTAAGAATCAAGCTCACTCCAGCGTTTACTTCTGGTAAAATGAAGTTGATGTTTGATACTTTAGTGGAAAAACGAAAGGCTTGGAGGAATTAGTGAGGAGTCACATTAAAAATAATCAACCTCTTGACATCAAAGAAGTGATAGCTAGGTTTACTACGGATATAATTGTCAGCTGTGCATTTGGGCTCGAAAGTAACAGTTTGGAAGTAGCTGAAACCGAGTTCCGTAAATATGGAAGAAAAGTGTTCGATTTGAAGGCTTGGAGGATGGTTCTTCTTAATAGTGTTCCGCGTTCATTGCTAACATTATGCTATCATTTAGGATTTACCGCGTTTCCTAGAGACGTAAGCCAATTTTTCAATAAAACAGTTCAAGATACCATTCGCTACAGGGAGGACACAAAATTGTACAGAAAGGATTTCATGCAATTGCTGTTAGAAATGAAGAACAAAGAAAACGGAGCAATAAATAAAATTACAGACGAAGAGATAATTTCACAATGTTTTGTATTCTTTATCGCAGGCTACGAGACATCGGCAACCACCACAACTTTTGTTTTGCTTGAATTGTCTCAGAATCAAGATATCCAGGAGAAACTAAGAGCGGAAATTAGGGAAGTCTTGGAAAAACACGAAGGAGCGATTACTTACGATGCCATCATGGAAATGACGTATCTGGAAATGGTTATTAACGAAACTCTAAGAAAGTACCCTCCAGTACCAATGATTCCCAGATTCTGCACGAAGGATTATCACGTTCCAGGCACAGAGGTAACTATTAAAAAAGGAACCCAGGTTCAAATTCCAGTTTGGGGCCTTCAAACCGATCCGGAATATTTTCCAAACCCGGAAAAATTTAATCCAGAGAATTTCAGTGCGGAAAATAAATCCAAAATTCCGGAAATGACCTTTATACCATTCGGAGAGGGACCCAGGATGTGCATCGGGTTGCGTTTTGGAAAGTTACAGAGCAAAGTTGCTCTGGTCAGTTTATTGAGAAACTTTAATTTTACTCTCAGTGAAAAAACTCATACTCCTATCGAGTTTGAGAAAGTGAGTTTTATTTTATCCGTTGAAGGGGATGTATGGTTGAATGCAACGGAAATTTAGGAGGAAAATGTGTGATAATATTATAATAAATTTATTTCTGGATTGTATATTATTATACAGGGTGAGTCTTAAATAAGTGCAAATATTTTCAGGGCTGGGAAGATCTCGATAAAAGAAACATATTTTTTCTTTGCCGTTTTTCAAATAGGTCTAAAATAATATTTTACTTTAAAAATTAAAAAAAATGATTTACTTTTTAAAAATTTTGGGAGCCACCGAACTTTTTCTGTGTTTGCATCTCTTTTAGTGCTTTCAATTTTTTTTCGCGAAAAAATATTTGCAGTTATTTAAGACTCACCCGGTATATCTAATGAAAAGCCTGAAAATGTCCATTTTAGTAATTAACATTTAATTGGTTAAAATAGTGTGTAGTTATTTTTAAGTAAATTTTATAATGTATCTTTAATTGATAAGAAATTGAGGTTATTATTAATTATTAATATTAATATTGATATGTATGTTATTAAAAAAATACAAGGTGTCCAAAACGTGTGAGGTCGTGTGTTTTAAAAAAAGATTAAAAAATACAGGTTCGTATTTGTAAAAAAAATCATCTTCTTCGTACCTATTGTGGTTTCCGAGTTTCCAATTGTCACCCTCATTTTTCGGACAGTCTGTACATTAAGACAGACTTTATGTATGAGATTTATTTTGAATAAAGAATTAGAAAAAACAGTATAGTTTATGTACAATATGTTGATAAAAATTAATTTTGTTTATTACTTTTAATTGATTTTTACAAACTTTGAGTGTTGAGATCATTGAAAATATACTATAGCTACAATTTAAAATTATTTTATAAGGTATAAACAGAGTGTCATAAAATATATTAAGGAAGTTTTTTTTTTAAATGAAACACCCTATACGTTATTACATTTTTAGACTGTAAGACCGAAATAAAGCTAACTTTGATGTTTTACCATTTTAATCGATAAGACTTACCTCATTTATGTCTATTTTTTGAAACATTTTAATATGTTATTTATCTAGGCGTGTTTAAGTTTTTAAAACGAAATATGCACTGAAAGTTTTTTATTTAGTAAATATTGTGCTGCAATAATAAAAATAAGACTAGTTTATACAGGGTGTCTAAAAATTTCTAGCTTGATTGAACTTTATGACTCTTATGACCTTACTTTATCCTTAAATCGCCAGATTATTTAAAAACATTAAAATGTTTGTGAAAGAGTAAGAATTGCTTAATTTTGCTTTAATTATTTCCATTCAACCATTAACTGATTATTTGGCTTAATTCATAAACAAAAAACGAGTAATTTGAGAACTAACACAGTTTCAAAACAGATTTCTTTTGTACATTTTTAAATTGTTTTTAATGCCGTTTTTTTGTTTCCAACTAGCAAAAATGAATATTGAACAGAAATATTGAACCGTGATTATACCGAATATACAGGGTGGTCCGAATTGTATTCGGACAACTTCGGCAGCATATTCTGCACAAAAAAAAAATATTAAAAAAAGTTGGTATAAATTTATGTCTTAAAATGCTTATTTTCGGAGATACATAGTGTAGAAATTTCATTTTTATTTGGATTATTTCCAAGTAATTTATGAACAAAGGTCGATATTTGTATGAAAATTGGTGAAAACACTTTTGTATTTATTTTTATCTGCAGAATTTGGCGGGAGCGTTCAGAAGTCGCTTTAGTAGAGTAATTAAAATACTTTGTGCTTATCAGTGTATTGTTATTACTTTAATATTTTACATTGTACTGATATGTAGGATTTATATAAATGTATTATGTTTGTAAATACATAATTAGAATGGCCTTTATCCTGGCATAAATAAAGATTTATTTATTTAATAAAAGAAATTTAGATTTTAAATCATTTAATATCAATAACTGATTATTATTACTTATAACTACTACAATAGAGACAGAACAATATTTCATAACTTTTGCTAATGCCATGATCACTTCTCAAAACGTACTTGACAGTGAAAAATATATAAACTACTTAGTTATCAGTATGATTACATCGGGTTTTCAAAAATTATAAATAACCAAACAAGCCTATCTAAACTTGCACAGTATAGTTTAGCGTTCCTAAATAAAATGTTGATTTACTTAGTATTTTACTTTTTGTTTTTTACGGAAAATTAAAGCACTCTTACTGAAAAAAAGACTCGGAGCGTATCAATTTGACACCGAATTCCTTTTGGTAACTTTAAAAACGAGTTGTTGGGCAAAACAAGCCTTTTCCTTGCTTTCAAAGATAAATACAAACAGCTGAAAGCCCTAAACCTGAAACATGGAGGTGTGTACATGTTGCTCAAACCAATATATGTACCAGTTGACTGGGATATATAAAAAGAATCTTCGTCAAGGACTTTCCATACTTCCAGGGTCACATGGACAATGCACACTTGAAAGATAACCTTGGCATGAACATTTTTGGTCTGTATGGTGATCCATGGAAGAAGCTGAGAGTCAAGCTGACTCCAATGTTTACTTCTGTTAAAATGAAGTTGATGTTTGAGACCTTAGTAGAGAAAACAAAGGGTTTGGAGGAATTAGCGAGACGTCACGTAAAAAATAACGAACCTCTAGCCATAAAAGAAGTTGTAGCTATGGATATAGTTGCTAGCTGTGGGTTTGGGATTGAGTCTAACTGTTTGATTGAAGCTGAAAACGAGCTCCGTAAGTACGGAGAAAAAGTTTTTGACTTGAAGCCTTGGAGGATGTTTATTCTTAATAGTGTTCCACGGTCTTTGCTAACTTTATGTTATCATCTAGGATTTAAAGCGTTTCCTAGAGACGTAAACCGATTTTTCACCAAAATAGTTCAATACACTATTCGCTACCGGGAACAAATGAAACTGTACAGAAACGACTTCATGCAGCTGCTGCTAGAGATGAAGAACTAAGAAAACTCAATCACCGAAGAAGAGATTATTGCACAATGTTTCACTTTCTTCGCCGCGGGCTACAAGACATCCCTAACCACCACAACTTTTGTTTTGTTTGAATTGTTCCAGAATCAAGAAATCCAGGAAAAACTGTTAAAGAAAAAGTCCTTTTTGGTATTTCCGTGATAAGTATTTATTAAACAAAAATCAAGTATATGGTTTAAAAGCTTTTAGATGACTGAATTACAGTTGGCAACAACCGTCGCAACAGAGAGTCGATTAACATAATGCTGGCTAAGCAATATACAAGGCTATCGCCAGACTTCGCAGTATTAAGATTAAAATGTACGTTATAAACGGTTGGTCCAAATTTCAGATACCCTATTATTATTATTGTTATAATTCTAACACTCCCACTTATTTGAAATTTGTCTCAACCAAATCTTAAGAACAAGCAAAACAGATAAATCAAGGTAATGTGCAATTTACGATAACATAAAATCATAATACATTTTACACTTTTACAATGTTGACAAGCAGGCGATTAAAAATTGCCTTTGTAAGCGGCTTCGTTAAAATATCCGCTAGTTGTTCACTTGAGCACACATAACTGACGGAAATATTGCCTTTTTCGCACTCATCCCGCACAAACAGTTTTACATCCATATGTTTTGTCCTGCTGTGGAGTTGATGAGCCTGGGTTAACTTTATCGCTGATTGGTTGTCCACAAGCATCTTCATCGTTGATGTTCATCGTTGATGTAGTAGTAGAGATTTAAGCCACAAAGCTTCTTTAACGCCAATAGCTAATGCAATGTACTCGGCCTCGGTGGTTGATTGGGCTACAACCGATTGCTTCTGGCTTTTCCATGTAATCGGGGCATTCGCAAGCATGAAGATGTATCCACTAATTGATTTTCTTGTATCTACACAACCAGCGTAGTCGGCGTCTGTATAACCGATAGCTTCAATGTTTTGGATTTTCGAATAAACAATCTTATAGTTCATTGTTTGTTTAAGATAACGGAAAATCCGTTTAACTGCTTGCCAATGTTCGTCTTTCCAATTATTTAGGAATCTACTCACTTGGTTGACAGCAAAACATATGTCCGGTCTGCTGACGGTTGCAAGAAAAATTAAAGATCCAACGGCCTCGCGATAAGGTACTTTTAAATTACAAACAGAGTCATTAGAAACGGCCGTCAAACGTATACCCGGTTCAGCTGGAATCGACAACGATTTTGCTGAGTTCATGTTAAATTTTTCGAGCATCCGCGAAACATAATGTTTTTGATGGATCGCGATAGTTCCTTTTTCAATGTCTTGTTCAATCTGAACGCCAACAAACTGCAAATTTTTATTGTCCATATTTACAGTAATTTTAAACATTTGCTTCAGAATTTTAATTAATTCACAAATCGCAGTTTCGGATGTTGACAATAAAAGTCCGTCGTCAACATATATTGCCAGATATACTTGCCAGAAACGACCGATAAATACACACATATCAGATTTCAATTGTTCAAATTTATATTGACTTAAAAATGAAACAAACTTACGGTTCCAGCATCGGGGGGATTGTTTTAGTCCGTAAAGGCTTTTGTTTAGTTTACATACCAGATCAGGTTGTTCTTCATTAACAAATCCTATTGGTTGTTTCATGTACACATTTTCGGTCAACTCACCATAGAGAAATGCGGTCTGCACGTCAAAATTCGCGATTCGTAGGTCTTTTTCTGCAGCTAGGGCAAGTAACACTCGAATCGAATCGTACCGAACTACCGGCGCGAATGTTTCTTGATAATCGATGCCTTTTTCTTGGGTATATCCACGTGCCACTAAACGCGCTTTATAACGTATCGGATTACGATCTGCGTCAGTCTTTACACGAAAAACCCACTTATTGTCAATTAATCGCGCACTTTGAGGCAACTTTTCCAAAGTCCACGTATTGTTGGATTCTAGGGCATCCATTTCTTCTCTCATTGCGGTTTCCCACTTCTAGAGTCTTCACTTTTCATAGCCTTCTCGTATGAATCTGGTTCTAGAATGGAACAATTTGCATAGTAATCTGGAGGTCTTAGAGTATTTCGGTCTCTTAATTGTCTTACTTCAATATTTTTCATTGTTGGTAGCATCAAAGTATCCTTCAATTTCGAAGTCTTCGTCACTGTTTTCAACACTTTCTTCTGTTGAAGTCCTATCTTCTTCGCTTTCATTTTCTTCTTCTGGTAGTAGAATATTTTCTGGCTGAATATCTTCATTCTCGTTGTCAATCTTCAAATTTTTGACCATGTCCTGATGAGCAGTTTTCTTGATGGCATTACAGTTTACATGACCAAGTCTATCATGCCACAATTTCAGCGAATTGTTAACGTTACTTGCGTTGCACTCCGGTGGCATTTTTACGCGGAAGTTCATCACCCACAAATCGCCACTTCGCGTACCGAAACACGATAAGTTTCCATCCCTGTCGCGAAACTCACAGCGATTTTTAGACGAATGGAAAGTAAAATTACGATCGGTCATTACTCCCACTGAAAATAGACTTCTTCTCAGTTCTGGGATGTAGAGGACATTGTAGATTGTTCGATTGATCCACTGACCTTCGACAAGAGCTTCGATATTTATTGTTCCTGTTCCAGCTGCTGCAATCCTTTTGTCATTGGCGATTTGGACATGTAATGGTTGTGAAAGGGGTTTCAGTTCCGCAAACCACTCACGTTCACTAGTCATGTGAACGCTCGCCCCAGAGTCACAAATCCATTCAGTTTTCTTCATCCTTGCACTCGCTGAATACGATGCTGAAATATGGTTTAAAAGCTTTTAGATGACTGAATTACAGTTGGCAACAACCGTCGCAACAGAGAGTCGATTAACATAATGCTGGCTAAGCAATATACAAGGCTATCGCCAGACTTCGCAGTATTAAGCTTAAAATGTACGTTATAAACGGTTGGTCCAAATTTCAGATACCCTATTATTATTATTGTTATAATTCTAACAAAAATTAAGAACGGAAATTAAGGATATCCTGGAGAGAAACGAAGGAGCGATGACGTACGATGCCATAATGGAAATGACGTACCTATCTTGAAATGGTTATTGACGAGACCCTAAGAAAGTACCCTCCAGTACCAATGATTCCCCGATTCTGCACGAATGATTATCAAGTTCCTGGTACAGATGTATTAATTAAAAAAGGAACCCAGGTTCAAATTCCAGTTTAGGGCCTTCAAACCGTTTCGGAATATTCTCCAAACCCGGAAAATTTCGACCCGGAAAATTGTAGTGCGGAAAATAAGTCCAGAATCCCGGAAATGGCTTTTATACCTTTCGGAGAAGGTCCTAGGTTATGCCTCGGTTTGCGATTTGGAAAGTTACAGAGCAAAGTTGCTCTGGTGAGTTTGTTGAGGAACTTTAAGTTTACTCTGAGTGAAAAACTCAAAGTCCTGTTGAGTTTGAGAAAGTGGGTATAATTTTAACTGTTGAAGGGGATGTATGGTTGATTGCAACTGAAATTTAAAGAGAAAATGTTTGAATATTATTATTTTTTTTTCTTTGATACGATTATATTGCTACTTTGTATATAAAAAATTTGAAAATTAAAATGTACTTATATGTATTATCTTTATGGCAGTATATCTAGACAAAAAATATTATAAATCTGAAAAAATAATATAGTATTTTATAGCAGCTATAAAAATTAAGCAGATAATTTTGTTACAAACTTTCCAATGTATTTTGAATTAGTTATTATTTTTTATCCAAGCTAGGAAAATATATATTTTGCCGTTTAATATTTATTAACCCATCTAACCAAATAAAGATAAAAGAATACACAATGCACATGCGCGCGTGCACAGAAAACGAAAGTATTGGCTGTTTGCCTTAAGAAGGTTATAATTCCTTAATAAAGATAAGGATAGCTTGACTAAAATTATCATTGTTTTACATTCCCCAGCCGTCTTTGACGCCGTTTTTTTTATCGTATGGTATTTAACAATGTTAAAAGCATCTTAAAAACATCCGTGAGTATGGAAGCCCTAGGTATATTGTACGAATTTTTATTCAAACCGATTTAATGCTCATGTAATGCGTTCGTTGCTCGTGAAAATTTTAACAGAAACGACCTTCACGCTAAAACTAATGCAAATTCGTACAGACTTACATTATAAAAATTACTATTTGATTGAGATGTAGGTCGTATGAGATCACTTACATCTTTTCGCGCAATAGAATGTAAACGACAATGATTTTTCTCTCGTATTTTACCGCTGAAACATTTGAAATTGGTACTCCAAATAAAAAAAAAACATTTTTTAATTCTCAATCTAATAGAAAAATAATGTAGAGGGTGTTAAAAGAAGAAAAATTATTTTATATTTTAGAAAGTTTGGCGTAGAATTTTGAACATCCTGTATGATTTAAGATTACGATATTTAAAGTAAGTACAGACCATCTAAAGTAAGTATCTAATATAGTTTTGATTTTTTGATTTCAGGACAGTTCTTGTATTTTTAATATATTTTTTTTATTTATTAATATCTCTGAAACTATTAAAATATATTTACTCATATCTTAGGTTTATGTAAAATAATCTGAAAGGAAGCTAAAAATGCAATAATATACAGGGTCATTTAAAAAAATCTCCCCGCTCCACTCACACATTTTTGAATCACTGTAGAAGTTTTTTATTCTAGGATCTACAGATGCCCGATGCATTATTACCCTGTATGTATACGTAAACGGAAACATAGCTGATTTTGTATGTAAGATATCCCCAATAATTACCTATCTCGGTGCTGTTTATATTTACCTTTATTTACCATTGTATGTAATTATATAGCAGAACAAGGACATTTGACTCGGTGCGACGGGAGATCGTACCAAAGATCGTACTAACTAGCCTAGATGTGAAAAAAAATCAGTATTTGTTGTGTTAGATTCGCGAAATTATTGCACGGTGATATAAATAAAAAAACAACTGTTTTTAAACACTGCTATTGTGTAAGATTGTGCTAAAAGTCAGTGCTAAAAGATTTAATTGAATAGAAATAGGTGAAAATGGTTTTTTTGTTGTTATAGGATTTATAGGTAAGTTTCGTATGTAATATATGATAAATCTATTTTTAAAACGACCCATTTATTAGCACCAAGTAATAATAATGTAAGTAATAAAAATAAACTTGTATAAGCATACGGCGGAGTACCGAGTCTGTGGTTGGTTCCTTGTGAAACATCGGTATCGTTGAGATAAAGTAATACTCTCATTAAATTTGATAGATATCTTAAAGTAATATTATAAAAGAATTATAAGCTGCATTAATAAAAAAACTATTGAAAAATTTAAACTAATTGTTAATGTACTGTGTGTCTCATTTTCGTGTGTTTTATGTAGAGGGTTATCATTTATGAGTATAGATACAAAAATGCGGTTTTCACATCACTATGCTACTTTCTTATGAAACTAAATATACTACACATATATTTGGGCCTAGCCTTAGAAAACGTACAAAAGAAATATTTTTTTTTGTTTTCCGAAATATCTAACAACGAATATCTTTGGAACAAAAAGTGCCAGTCTCAAAAACGAAACGGTTCTGTAAAGTACACCTTTAGGAGTACAACATAATTACCAAATAAGCAAAATCAATTTTCCAAAATTTTTCGAAAAAATACCTCGGCACCCCCCTGTCGATTTTCTCAAAAACCAAAATGTCTCAGATCGCAACTAAAATATTCTTAATAGTAGTTAATTTTACGTTGAATTGACTACCGCACACCGTTTTCCGATATCTCCAAGAGATCTTGAGTTTTTTAGAAAATCTACAAAACAAATATTTTTTTCTGTTTTCCGGAATATTTAACAAGGAATTTTGGAACAAAAAGTGCCAGTCCTCAAAAACGAAACGGTTCTGTAAAGTACACCTTGTATCTTAGTTATCTTATAACTTTTCGAAAATATGAAAACTGTGTCCCGTAGAGTTTCTCACGTAGAATCCATTGGCGTAACTAGTTTTTCTCCGAGAGCTGTCGTTTTCTAAGTATGACTCAAATTTATGTTTTTAAAAGGGACAGTATATTATTTTTCTCTACACTGTATATCTATTTGCCTTCTTATGCGTTTGCTAATAAAATTACATACCCTATATTTATTTTTGTAAAGAACGTAAAAATGCATTAAATAAAATGAAAATACCCTTCTTATAAACTAGGTTTCAAATTATTAACGATTAACTTACTAAGTTAAGAAATGCATTTTCACCGTATTTATGAAAATAAGTATAGAATACATATATTATTATTTTTAGAAAGCTTATGACAAGGCAAGTAAAATAAAAAAATATATATACAGGATGTCCCATTTAAAAAAAAAACATGAATTTGAGTCATATTTCGGAAATAACAGCTCTCGACAAACTAACTAGTTACGCCACTGGTTTCTACGTAAAATACTCTACAGGACTCAGTTTTCACTTTTGAAAAAATGCAACATTTTCAAACTGGCCCTGTATTTCAGAAACCAAAGGGGCTAGGACAAATCTGTGAGTAGCATCTTTAGTTTCATAAGAAAGTAACATAGTAATGTGAAAACTGCATCTTTGTATTTTGTATCTCTACTCATAAACGAGACTCATACCTCATAAAACACATAACCCCATAAAACACACGAAAATGGTATACCCTGTATACTTGCTGTACATTACGTAAGCTATTTCACTAATAAGATCATTTATTATTAAGTAAAATCAATGACTTTTTCTCATATTATCATTCTTTTAGAATATAGGTAAAGGTTTGATAATTTAGTAGTAATTAAAATATAAAAAAAAATCATCTCAGTTAAATTTGATAAAATATAATAATGCATTAAAAAAATAATTCTATTTAGAGTCATTATAAATTGGGTGTGTAATATTGTTAATATTAGAATTACACCTACATATCATTTTTTATTCAGCAGGATTTCATCATATGCAGTTAAAATTACTTCATACGTTTTACTCATATTTATACGTGAGGTTTTTCGTTTGAAAACAATCATACTTCTCGTTTAATTTAACAATAATGAATGCAATAAATAAAAATTCTCAGTATGGTTGAAATTTTTCAAAGTTCCTAAAATCAAAAGGCGTTTCTGTGGTAATATTTCGATTTCATTCTTTGATAGACGGTTCTAATTAATTTTAATTAACTGCATATTTTTTGCTATGGTTATCACATTTTCCGATAACTATTATAACTCTTGCCTTAGCATTGAACTAAATAAATTTTGTGCTTCTTTAACATTTCAAAACGGCAAAAAATATGACGTTTTTCCATAGCAACTGTTAAAATTGCCTTATATCTATCAAAAATAGTAGATAATATAGTACTTTAACCGCAAAGTAGATTAAATGATAGCGAAGATAGGTTAAAAACTTTATTTCTTCTCGCACGTTTTTTTAATTGCTTCCATTTTGAATTTTTTTATTCCTTTTCATAAGTTATTCGGGATTCAAATGGAAGTAGTTTTGATATGGCGTTTGTCGCCTCAGCCTGAATATCTGTTGGTAATTTACTTATTTCGTTTTGAGGCTTTTCTGGCTCCAATTCAATCAGCAATCGACACGAAAGAGAATTAAACAATATTGACTCAAAACTGACAACTAAAGAGACTAAGCTTTATTTATTTGTCAAATTACATGAAACCAACGCCAACCCAACTAATATTTTTCTACTCGTAATAAATTCCTTGAAATAATAATTTCTGGATATTTTTTTAAAACGTAACTGGCTATGGAAAAAAATATTGTTTTATACACGACGATAAAATTGCATTGTCGTCTTCCGAAATTAATCTTTTCCCGGTCGACGATAAAATACCATTTTATCGTCTTGTATATAAAGTAACTATAGGTAATTAAACTTTAGTCAATAACAATCTATGAAAGAATGATATCGCAATGATATTACTTAGACACGCCTTTTGATTTTTCGAACTTCTGAAACGGTATGAAAATTTGGAAAAGTATAAACGAGATTAACCATTTTAGAAGAAGCAAATGTTTTTATTAAGAATGCGTTTTTTTCGAAATGTCAATAATAAAAAAGTGTTTCCTCTCGTAAAGGAAATTCGGGGACATACTGTATAGTATATCCTCTTGATTAATAGAAATTAGTATTATTGCTTCATCTAGAACAAAGTTACAGAAGGTTCAAAAATGCCGATAGTTGAAATAGGAATAATATGAAAACGGTATAAGTTTAAGTCCAAAATTAATATTTTTTAAAGCGTCTTTCTTGCTAATTTTTAGTTCTTTTCAATGCATTATTTTGGAAAAAAATATTATAATGGAATCGAGAACAATGGTACTATATGGTAAATTCAGAAAATTAAAGCATTTCGTTAGGAATATATGCGCGGCATTATTGCATATACCTACATTGAATAATAGAAATTATTTTACTAACGACTAACCACGCCAAACGTTTG